ATAATAACAACAACAACAATAATAACAACAACAATAATAACAACAACAACAACAACAACAACAATAAATCACCATCGTCATCGTCATCGTCATCAAAAAAAGAATATTCTTTACCTTGCAAAGAACCGATCCGTGCAAATAACGTCATTGAGCCCGAAAATAATCATGGTCATGATCATGATCATTCTAGTATACACGATGATAATCAAATTAAAACAACGGTTTTTGATGTGAAAGATTATAATAAACAAAAGTGGGAACAAGATATGGCAGATATTCTAAATGCATGGAGACAAGGTCTTACATGGGACCAAGACACCACTACAGATAGTCAAGAGTTAAATTCTACACCAAAGACTGAAGGAAAAGGAAAAGGTCGTATGAATCATAATGCAGAGCATGAATTTCAAGGATTTGATGGTGAATTACAAAGTTCTGATCACTGGATTAATCATATGAATAATGAGACTGTGGTTCCAACTGATATTGAAAGCCACAATTATCATCATCATAACAACAATAATAATGGACAATTCAATGCCAGACAAAGAAATCAACGTAATTCTGGACAATTAAAACGCAAACCGGATCCAATAGATGTCAAACGCTCTAATGCTATGGCATTCAGAAAAAGTTATGATTTATATGACTCACAATCTAGACAACAATCACCATTATCTGCCTCTATGTCACCTAAGTCGAGTACAATCCCTAACTCAGCATATTCTGCACTAGTATCACCTCATTATGGTTCTGGATATAACAACGTTAACAATAATGATCCATTTAGATCAAAAGAGAGCATTCCAAATTTTGGTAATAATTCAAATGGGACAAGACTTTCTAAAAGAAGCGTTCCAAATTTACGTGATGCTGTGCATAGTAATAATATAACACCTCCATTATCTGCCACTATCAAAAGAACAACAAATCATATGCACGATCTTCAACAAGTTCCGCTAATAGATACTAGAAAACAACAATTCATCAACTCGCGTTGTCTACCTAGAGAATTTGTGGAAGATAAATGTTATTCTAATCGTAATTCTAGACACCCATCTCAAGATTCTCACTTTTCTTTTGGAAGAGATGACAACAATCATAGAAAACGTTCCAGCACTAGCAATATCAGAAAAAGTTAATTAATTTAGGATATATAAATTTTAGTAATTTATATTATAAATATATTGTTTTTTTAATAATACGCACATATTTATATATTTATTTCATCTTTTATGATTTGAAAAATCGAAAAATACCTCGTAATTTTTTTTTACATCTTTTGCTTAT